CAAAAAAGTACTATAGCACTTTAAAATGACTAACAACTTCATTGTTATCATTGGACTAGTCTTCAAGATGCCACAAACTTCCTTGTTCTGCATCTTTTTAAAACTTTGATATTTCAAAAACAACATATAGGGAATTAAAATACTTTGTAATTGTAGTAAAGAATTCAGGTTATCACAGAGCTAGAACTAGAGCTTCTGGCTAAAGACAGAGGATGTTAATCATTTAAAAGTAGAGCTGAACTGTAGCCTTTTCCATATTTTAGCATATGCAGAGCCCAAATACATTGAAGGGAATGTGCAAGTTCTGTGCCACTTAGTAAGTAACATATGGTTTCACATTTCCTTTACATTTAGTTTAATTTTGAAAATGCAACACAGACGTTTGATGACCTGCCAGCAAGGTTTGGCTACAGACTACCAACAGAAGGGTTGAAGGTAAGAAGCAACCACTTTTAAATATGTTATTCAGGATAAGTTCTGCATCACAAAGTCAATGGAAAGAAGTTCCAAACAGCATGTGATCAGATACAGATAAATAAACGTCCTTTCACTTGGTTATTTGTAGCTTTTAAATATGTTATTCAGGATAACGTCTGCATCACAAAGTCAATGGAAAGAAGTTTTTCTCTACAGCTTTCCCCCGGTGTCCTTTTCTCTTGAGAAATATATATGTCATATCCCAAAATTGTGCCTTGCATGGGACTTTTGAGTTTTAAAATCCATTTCTGTAAGGGGGGGAGTATAGTTAATTCTCTGACACCCTGGATGATTGTTAATTTTCAGCTTATAATAAGGGCTGATTTATTTTATACGAACTTAGGAAACTTCATTTGTGCATTGGAATAGAGATGCAAATAAAATAGGCATGGAATTTGGACAGTATTTGTATACATATTGTGCAGAAAAAGCCATCCACGCCCCATAAGCATATATTAACTAAAATTCTGTTATGTTTTTATGCTGTTAACTTAGTTGGTGATTTCAATGGCAAATCGCTATATATTGAGAACTCAATATAGGCATTTGCTGTTGTATGCCAGGTCTTGTGATTCGGTGCGCAACAGCAAATGTCTGCTCTACTTTGAAACTTGTTGCAGTTTGCTTTTGAGATCTGCATCAATTGAATTATGGTGGCAGGAGAAATGAGTAGGATTCTGACCACTGGTTCAAGATGGTTACAGTATTAACCTATTTGAGTCCTCTGATTTATATTCAAGAACTTTGGAATCAAGAAAAATGAATGCATTTTGGTTTTGCATTTTCTTTCTACTGTGAGCTTGGGAACTTGCTACAATAAGAAAAAAATATTCTACAGTTATGAGGTCTAGATATATAACCTTGAAAAAGACAAAGAAAGAAGATGGATCTTTGCAGGAGTGTGAGGGTTCGCTTTCTGGCTCCTGACTTGCCCTGAATAAATCACCAGACTTGCGTCATTTCAAAATTGGAGTATTATTTATTGCATTATTTAAGAAAAATCCAGTGTCAGCAAACATATTCCAACCTTTCTCTCTGTCAAACAACGGGTCTGACAAGGGTTTCCACTCATCAACTTTGAACGGGTTTCCCTCTTGAATGTTCCAAGGTCCTGGCCAGTCCAGAGATGCACCTGTGTTCAACAACGGTCCGTTCTCCCCCTCCTATAAGGGGATTGTATCCTCATCTTGGTTGTCAACCCAGCAAGCTTTGGGTGGGATTGATCATCTGCCAGGGTCCTCCTGTCATTCCATCTGGTGCATCTCCCAAATCCTCCATTCTAATCTCTCTCAACCTTCTCCTTTTCTTCCCTCAATTTCCTCCTCCATTCCTTAGTCTCCCTTTCACCCCAGTATGATGGTTTGGGGGTATTCTCTCACTTTCTGTCATCAACTTCTTCTTTAGGGACTCTTAGCTCCTCCACCTTTCCCGTCCATGGATCTTCTACCCACATCCACTCCCAGCCTGGGGGAACTCTCCTTCCCCACCTTTTATATCCGCTAGTCCTGCCTCCACTACTACCCAGTTTTTTGCTCCGTTCCTGTCAGACCAGTCCCGGTCTCTTCAACTGTTAATCCTTTGAAATCCTCCTCTATCCCCCCCAGGTCTGGTCTAGGTGGTCTTGTCTTCCTGGGTAGGGGAATTGGCGGGATTTGGCTCTCTTTATCGACAGTAGGCGTGAGGGATGGCACTCCTGTGAGAGGCATTTTGCTCTCACCTCTGGTCTTGCAAGGAGACACACTAATATAGATAGTTAGAATACATACAGCTTGAAAGTCTTATTTCTGCTTTATTTAAAATGATTTAATGTATTTATTACTGAAAAATTATATGGAGTGACAATATGGAGTGACAATTGTTTTCCTAATCCTTTTTCAATTGGCATTTGAAATTGTCACATATGCTAACATCTGTGCACTAGAGGATTGTGTGAGGAACACCTAGCCCTCGATGGGGGTCCCGCAGGGCACCCCAAAACACTGAGGAGATCTCTTGGCCTCTGGCAGGACTGGGGCTGTGCAGCCCTGTACTGAGTGGGAGGTGCAGCCAGGGGGTCACCATGACTTGGGGGGGATGTCAGGGGACAGAAAGGTTTGACTCCTTTTACCCCCTTTTTTCTCCAGCAACAAAGAAACTCTTTGTTGCTGGAGAGAGGAAGAGGGAGAAGGCTATCTGAGACCCATTGAATTTCCAAAGGCAGTGCAGGTGAGGGGATTGCTTTTCCCCAAGATGGTAGGGGGAACTGTTTTGTAAGACAGTGTCTTTCTTCTATGGATAATTTTCGCAAGACAGTGATTTTTTCCCCAATTGGAACGCATTTAAATATATTTCAATGCATTCCAATGGGGAACTGGGTTTCACAAGACGATGTTTTTGCAAGACAGCGATTTCCATGGAACGAATTAAAATCGTCTTGCAAGGCACCACTGTAGTGAAAACTAGCACATCAGCTGAGATCTTATAATTGTAATCTTGTATTTGCTGAAGACCTGCTTAAATAAAAAAGGTCATTGCATGCCATTGGTAGTAGAACAGGAAGGGGCAACAGAAAGAGGTAGTAGAACAGAAAGAGGCAACTCTAGCCTCTTTCAGCATGAAATTCCAGACCCTGGCATGGCCACAGAAAAATTCTCACCAGATGGGCCTCTGAAGCTGGTGGAACCATGAGAAGGGCCTCCCCAAAGATCGCAAAGCCCAGGGCAGGCATGTTTGGAAGGATTCAGTCTTTCAAGTAACCTGGATCCAAATCTTAATAGGATTTTATACATCATGAACATCACTTTGAATTGTGCTTGCAAACAGGCTATTAGAGGAAAGGAACTGCATGTTTTGGAATGTCTCATCTGATGAAGTGTCCTGAGGAATGGAATACATTCCTTTTCATGATAAAGTCCCAAAATGGTATTACTCTACATTTTTGTTTTGCCCTTTTGCTACATATGTGGAAGACATTTTCCCCTGCTTGGAAGTATGATGTTAGATCTTAACCTTTAGTGAATACAAGATGCAAAAGACTAATACAATGTAAATATTAAGATGTTCTCTTAAATTGGGGTGGAAAACTTTGTAGGTATAGGGGTCACATGGATGACCTAAAAAAGAAAGAAAAGAAACCAAGCTGGAAGTCCACTTCCAATTTTTAAAAATGAATCTCCCTAGGAAGACTTTGTGGCAAACCTAGGTCTAACTCTGCACAAGCTTCTTGCCCAGAAAGGAAGCTCCAAGCAAGCACTGGGACAGCTTCCTTTCTGAACAGGAAATTTGGGCAAGCTTAAGTCATAAAACCTTCAAACTTCAATCTGTCTCCTCGATGAAACACATATAAGTATCTGTCTCTCAGGTGGAACACCCAGAATGGATTTATAGTCCAGAATTCTGAATGCCAGAATTGATAAGTAAAAGAAGGGCTACATTTTTTTAAATAAACAGTACAGTAGTACAGTGGTGCTTCACAAGACGAACGCCTCGCTGGATGAAAAACCAACAAGATGAATGGTTTTTGCGATCATGTTGGTGACTCGCAAGACGGCTTCTTCTATGGCCGTGCTTCACAAGATGATTTTTTTTTTGCAAGACCGATGCCTTGCAAGACAAAAAATTCATTTGTCTTGCAAGGTTCCCATAGGAATCTCGCACAGGAACCGCTTTTTGCAAGACGGCGCTAGTTGTGGAACGAATTACTTTTGTCTTGCGAGGCATCACTGTACTCCATTTTTTACAAATCTGGAGAGTTTTGGGGAGCAGTGTGAGGGATTTGGGGACTGGAAGAATAGATTTTGGGACTCCAAGACCATATTTTGCCCATTCTGTCATAGATAATTTGTAACCTCAGTGGTGAGGTACTGCTTTAATGTTCACAGGACACCTCAACCCAATACATGTTTGTATCAACAAATGAGATCTATCTATGCTTACATATTTCATAGGGTAAAGTTTTCTACTTGCTGAAGTGAATGGGAAAACTGAATTATGGAAGAAAGCAGTGTAACTGTTGCATTGCACATAGTCTCCTGACTTGAGTAAATACCTTAGTAGATTTACAATTCATTGGACCTGGCTCAGAATTCTCATTCTGACTACTTCAACTGAACAATTAACCCCAACTGAAAAGAACTAACAAATGAGACAAGTTTATTTACATAATATTAGTCTCTAAGACCACATGGCTTGCCCTGTGTCTGTATTTACTGATTTCTAATGGCTCCCGTGTTCCAAATCAGATAGATTCCTTACTGTCTGATAAACTGTGCATGAGAAAGAAACACAAACTTACGAACTTTTTATTGTAGAAAGTAATGTGATGTACAGAAAAATATTCACTTATTATGGGAAACAGCTTTTGTTTTATATAAAGTCTCCCCCCACCCACCCCGGTCTTTAGCTAAAAAGGCTTCCAGAAAGGCAGACATAACAATGAGTAAGATAAATCAATTCCTACCTTACAGGCTTATTGTGTAAAATAGGGATAAACAAACATTAGGTTTACAGGAGATTCCCTTTTTGTTTTTTATTACAACTCCAGGATAAACCAACAGGAACCAAGTGTGAAAAAACCATGTGTGCTTAGAAGCTTGAGCCTGAGTTCAGTTGCTATTCCCAGTTAGAACAGATCTGTGGGACTTGCATAAAGGCTGGTTTGCTGTTCAGTAGTTGATTAATGATTTGATTCTGGTTGAGACTAATATTTGGGTCACCAAATTCTTAGCTCACACTCCTTCTAGAGACAATTCTTAACTCCTGACTGTCTCCTATCCTCCATTTTAAAAATTAGGCTAATATAATGTGTGTGAGGTGTCAGTTTGTTGTCATTGGTAAGTAATTTGCAATCTGATCTGTTTATATTACCCAGAATGTTAGGTTCTGAGCTTTCTTCCATTAGGACTAGAGATGGTGGTATTCGTATACGAATATCCCCGCACAGGTGGCATTAACTCCCCATGGGGACGGACGGTCCACTCACTGAACCACCACAGATGCAGATGACACGATTCTATAAACGGCTGTGCAGTGCACGATCTGCTTGCCACTCCTGGCAGGAGGTGGGAGGACAAGCCTTGCTGCAAGGTTGAAGAGTGGCTATGCGGAGCCGTCTGCGTCCATGGTGGATTGATGAGTGGACTGTTAATGCCACCTGTATGGGGATATTCGTATACAAATAGCCCTGTCTCTAATTAGGACCTGATCCAGAAGGAAATGAGGATGAGCAGCAAATGGAGTAGGGAGCAAGCCAGCAAGAGTTTTTAAAGTTAAATAGTCATTGTAATGATTAGTCAGAAACAATAAAGGAAGAAAATGAGTTTGATGGAGCTGACTTTTTAGTAGGGCTTAAATAGTGACTTTGTTTTTCTTCTTATCCATGTTAACCAATTTTGAGCATCACTGAATATTCAGTTACATCTCAGATGATCACTTAATTAAGCAAATAATATCTGGAGACAGGGTGTGCAGAGAAAAATGAGGAAGTATTTTAAAGCCTTATTTGGACAATTGTGTGTGCCAAGTGCAAAGCAAATGAATGATGCTCCATTATCTTCCATGCTTAAGGTTAAGACTGCAATATGTCTACAGTCATGCTGCTGCTGAAAATAGGTAAGAGTGAATTCATGAAAATCAAAAACACTCTAAAAGTGGTGGGCTTCATTCCAGTAAAGTACTTTAACATATGCTTAATTTTAAGCTTTAGCTTTAATGAGACTTTCTATGTGTTTAAAACTAACTATACACTTAGTGCTTTGCTGGATTAAAGCCCAGGTGAAGTAGTGTTGAAAACATAACTCAGTTATACTTGACAAGCTGTCACTACAAGTCACACTGTACTTTGGTGTATGTTGAGTATTTTAGGTTCTGCTGAACTTGGAGTGGAGAGGAGGTCTGAGGTGATTTATAGTTTCTTCCTTGCATAGTATCAGGAAGCTCATGCAGTTATATGACATTTGCCACAATAACTTACTGTTTACATGATGGCAATAAGTGACTCTCACCTAGATAAATGTCTTGCATATTTTTAAGAGGTAAGAACTTTCTAAAGTATTAGGCCTGCATAAAATAGTTTGGCCTCTCGAATTAAGCTATGTATCACCTTGACATCCATTTCATTATGAAGTCAACAAACACTATAGACTTTTCACTGGTGTGGAGTAATAGGGTGGAGTTTGCAGAGATTCCTGAACTGGTACAGCCTGTATATCCTAATTATTAAATACTAGAGTAGTAGCTGCATTTAAGTATGTTACTTGATTCATGATAGACTGATACAGTAGCATCAGAGCTGTGATTAATAAGGGATGTGGTCAAGTCTAGTCACCCCCTTTTTAAAAATCTTCCAAACCACCTGGTCATATTGGGTATGTTGGGACTGTGTTTTCAAATTCAGATGTAGCATCCTGAAACATATGGGAGGCTTGCTCTCTTATTGTACAGTATGGGATTTTCTCCAAAAAAGGGGAGAGAGAATCTTTAAACAGAATCATTTCCACATGAGACATATTTTAGATTGAGTAACTTTGGCATCAGTTTTACAAATGATTAATATGTCAAGGGTGTTTCCTTCATGATTACACTAGATGAGAATGGGAGGACTGGAAATTTCTTCCTGTGTAAATGTTCATTTCTTTCCCGATGGTTAGGAGAACTATACTGAGGTTGAGCAGAACACATCCCTCATAGCCATGGAGGTAATGTTTCATATCATTGCTGACCTCTTTGTGAGAAGAGTTAGGCCACCAAAGGATTGCATCACCATCTTAAGATGAGTTAAGTGAAAAATCCACATTGTCATAAGCCAGAGCCTGCCCTTGTTTAGCCTACTTGGTTCTAAGTATGTAAGTAATTTCTACCAGAGAGCAATGTAAGGATTTCTCTAAAACTGCATGTAAGACTGAAGGTGAGGGCAAAGTGCCTCTCACGGGAGTGCCATCCCTCCCTCCTTCAGTCGATAAGGAGAGTCAGACCCCTTCTGTTCCCCCGCCTAGGAAGATGAAACAACCTGAACCAGACCCTGGGAGAATAGAAGAGAGTTTAAAGGAGTTAACGGTCGAACAGCCCAGGACTGCTGTATGGAAAGTGCAGGAAGTGGTGGAGGTGGGGTAGGTGGAAGAGAAGGGGGAAGAGAAGGACTCCCGCCAGACTGGGAGTGGATATGGGTTGAAGACCCTTGGATGGAAAAGGTGGAGAAGCTGAGAGTCTCCAAGGAGGAGGCAGATGCACGAAGGAGAAGAGAACTGACCCCCAGACCCTCTTATTGGGGAGAGAGAGAGAGAGAGAGAGAAGAGAGTGGTGTAAGAAACTGAGGGAGGAAAAGGAGAAGGTTGAGAGAGAGAGAGAGAGAATAGAGAGAATAGGATGAAGGCCCCGGGAGATGCAGAGGATGCAACCCGGGGAAGACCTTGGCAGATGGGGGATCCCACCCGGGATGGTGACTGGGTGGAATTTTGAGACGAGGACAACATTCCCTTACTGGAGGGGGAGAAGGAACTATTATTAAACCCTGATACCCCACCTGAGTGGCCGGGACCTTGGAACATTCACGAAGGAAACCCCTTCAAGTTTGAAGAATGGAAGCCCCTGATGGACCTGTTGTCTGACCGGGAGAAGAGTTGGAACATGTTTGTTGATACTTGACTATTGTTAAATAATCCAATAAATGCTACCCCTGTTTCAAAACCAAGGAAGTCCGCTGATTTATTTGGAGTTAACACAGAGCCAAACATTGAATCCTCACACTGCACTGTACAGAATACAGCCTCTCAAAATTTTTATTTTTCTGAACAAAAGGTTAACAATATTCTGTACCTGTATATTTTGAAATAGGCATTTGTGTACCATGAATTTGAAACTGAGAAAATGTTACTTCTCTATATTTAAGTAATTCTCTTGATTTTGTTATTCTTGCTTATTTTCCAGAGCATATTACCTAATTGTTCATGATATACTTCTGCATTATACTTTGTTACTGTACTGAGGGACAGACTTGGATTAAATATGCTTTTCAAGTATTACTGACTTTTAAAAAGATCATTAATACACAGATTCTAACCAATTGTAAATCTTCACCCACAGAATTTCTGTTGAATCCTTCTTGCTCTAAATTACTCAGTTTGTTTTCCTTAAAACTGAGCCCTTGTGATACAGTAGAGTATGACTTTGTCACATTGTACATAAACCATGTATATCCTGAAATTGCAAAAAGAAGCCTTTAATCAATAATTAAGGGACATGGTGGCGCTGCGAGCTAAACCGCAGAAGCCTGTGCTGCAGGGTCAGACGACCAAGCAGTCATAAGATCGAATCCACGTGACGGCGTCCCAGCTCCCTCCAACCTAGCGGTTCGAAAGCATGCAAATGCAAGTAGATAAATAGGGACCGCTTCGGTGGGAAGGTAACAGCGTTCCGTGTCTAAGTCGCACTGGCCATGTGACCACGGAAGATTGTCTTCGGACAAAACGCTGGCTCTGTGGCTTGGAAACGGGGATGAGCACCGCCCCCTAGAGTCGAACATGACTGGACAAAAATTGTCAAGGGGAACCTTTACCTAATCAATAATAGTCTGCTGATTGAGTCATTCACATTGTGCAGATGGAGCTACAGAACAAGTTTTCAGCCAATGTTTTAAAATGAAATCATTCTTTTTTTCTTTTCCACTGAAAAGCAAAACGTTTTATTTAAACGAGTTCAAAATTAATGGTTTAAATTATAAAACAAATGCCGAATTAAGTGCCATTTTATAAATTCTGTTTTCAGTTCAAAGTAAAAAGCATGCTGTACAATTTTTGAGTGGCCTTATAGGTAGTAGCTATATAAAGATTTGTGCAGGAAAAAACTAGAGAGAAGTGTTTGCAGAGGAGCCTTGAAGCCATCCTGTTTGCAGACAATTTATTTCTTTAAATCATATAGGGGAGCACTCTAAGGTGTGAATCTCACTTGCAGTCTGAAGTAGTACCCTTTTTTTTAAAAAAAATCACTTCTATAGGCATGGATCTAGCCAAAATTAATTTGGTAATTATTCAGATTATTTTGATTGGTTTCTGGGTGCTCAAGAATTTTGGTAATGTGATTTGGAATTTAAAAATGGAAGGAATGTAGTCTGTACTAATTCTGGCCTTTTGTGTTAATATGTTTTTGAAAATGTTTTACAGGGTTTTCTAATAAATTCAAAACCTGAAAATGCATGTGAGCCCATAAATCCCCCACCTCTGAAGGACAACACTTCTCATGAATTCATTGTGTTAATTAGGAGACTTGATTGCAACTTTGATATAAAGGTAGGTAATGCTTCTTTTTTCATCATCTCTTAAAGTATAGGGTATCTGATGCTTTAGAACGGTGGTACTCAACTTGAGATCCCAAGTATCTTGGGGCTATGAATCCCAGAAGCCCTGACAGCTAGAGATTCTGTGGATTCTTGTACAGGAACATCTGGACCTGAAGGTTGGGAATAACTGCTTTATAATAATGTTTAAACTTTTCATTCTAGGAGGAGGATGCAAATCGAGTGCATGCATACACATTCCTTAGGAACACCAACCAATTTTCATGATTTGTTTAATTAGTTTCCCTCATGTAATGTTGGTGAATATCTTCAAAATAATATCTCCTGGATGTGTCATTAATGTTTCTGAGTTCCTTTCAAGTAGGGGTGGTAAATCTTTTTTATATGAAGAGTCACTGACTCATAAGTAAAGTCAGTCAGGCAATAGCCAGTGGTGGCTGGAGTATTAGTCAAAGTGAACAGATAGTGTTACTCCATGTCACATGTTTTTACAAACACATGAAATTAGGACATGGCCACAAGCCTACTAGCCCAGGTTTACTAGTACATCTTTTGCAATGGTTGAAAATTGGTTTGCCACATTTTGTAGTCTGTCTGTTCATTAGACCCTATAGAAGGTCAAAAATCTGCCACTCCCCTAATCCTGTGCTGTTCCCATAGAGCTTAGAAAGCTCCATCCATGTCCATGCTTCAGGTGAGGATCCTGAAACTTCTCTCAGAATTTGTTTTTTTTCCTAAAACTACAAGAATTCTTGCTGGGGGAATTTCTGCTGGATTTCTGGTTGTTGTAATGAAAAAACCCCAAAGATCTCATATCTGAGTATCATACTAAAATGGCTAGTTGTGCCCCAAGAAATCTCTAGGGGTAGCCATTATCCAGATTTACTCTATAACCTATTTTAGGCTTGAGGTGGTGGTTGGTGGTAGGTTTTTTTGGGGGGGTGGTGGGGTTTTTTTAGTCACAAGTGGGCAGACATCACTTTCTATTTTGAAAAATGGCCACTGTGGTCTCAGGAAAGAGAAATGGCTTTCATTCTCATAATAGTGAACATCTGTCATGAAAAGCAGTGGTTTGGAGGTTCATGGAATTTTCATGGATCGTATTCACTTGGACTTTGCCTTCTCATCTATTGTCCCACCCTGCAATTACAAATGTGAAACTGAAGGATTGCAGTTTTTTAAAGAGTTTTTTTAAAAAAAAACCTCTTAATTAATTGTTGAGTGGATGATGCTGTCCTTAAATTTATGCTTGAATCAAGAGAAGATTGGTCCTAATTTGCAAAAAATGAATAGAGATTTTTTCAGGAAACTAATTGGCTTTATGTAGAATTGTCTTCTTGGGATTGAATACCATTAATATCATGACATGCTGCGTGTTATCCAGTATTATTCCTACTTCCTATGTTCAGTTAGTTTTCAAAAGATAATCCTTTCAAATCTGGAGCAGTCTTGGAATAAATCTGCACATGTAGCTGTGGAATGAATGGGATACACTTTGGCAAAAAGAGGTTTGGAAGCCTTCAGGCAATAAAATTATGTAGAATGAATTATTCTGGTATAATCAGTGTTATCGTCTTTAAAATGAGAGCAGTTGAACAAAGTTGTGTGAGCCAGTTTCAGAATCTCAAAGCCAGGCATGGGTGGAGAAATGGGCTTTTAATTGTGAGACAAGGCTACATGTTTGAAGACAAGGCTACATGTTTAATTTGGTTCTTAAAACCAAAAGGTTCTGCTGTTCACGTGTGTATAAAAAGACCAGTGGAGACCACATGTGGCACTTCAGTTTTATATTATGAGAACTTCGAAGGAAAACATCTTCTCAATAGGTCAAAGACAATAATCCTGTTGACCAAATTAACATTTCAGTTCACTTAACAACAGAAATGTTGACAAGTAAATTTTCTGGGTGAAGATTAATATTCTTGCACTCCATTGCTGTTAGTGTGAGTGTACTGGCGTCAAAGAATCTACCCTCAAAACATAATGACTTAATTCAGTATTAAGTTGCAGCTAGAGTAGGCCCATTGGGGATTAGGTGAGTCAATTCCCTGGTAAGTTCCACTGGTTCAATTGTCATTCTCTAGTTACAACGTGCTGCTTGATTTCAGCCAGTATCTTTGGAGAGGCAATTTGATTTTCCTCTCTACACATCAAGGTCTTGAGGCTGCTTATCATAGCTGTACCTATTGTTTAGAATCCAATTTGTGTCTCATGGCCACCTTGGTTTGCAAGAGTCATGTGGCAACACTTTTGTTGAATTTAAGTCTAGGAGATGGGGGGGAGAGCCTTTTGAGATCTCCATGAACAAAAGAGAAACTTCTAACATACTGCAAATACTGCGTGAATGAGAATCTGAACCATTGTCCTGATATGATGGTGTTCTGCTTGAGCAGAACATGATTCATGCCACCCTAACTGATAGAAAATAAGCTCTGTATTTCCCTACCAAAATCTGTTAAGTGTTTTGCCTTGTTCAGATTCATATTAGTGCATTCCATGGTATCAAATAAGTGTTTTATGTAATACTTTTGTCCATTCAGCATAGCACACAAATGTTCTCTTTATTCGTAGATGTGTACCTGTGCATTTCTCTAAAACACAACTAATCTGCTTAACTTTATTAACAAAGGAAGCAAATAGTTTCTTCGGCACGTCAGGCATGAAATGCTTCTCACTTATTTATAAAGTGTAAGATATGTGACTTGATTCACATATAAAGCTAAACTGTAGCCTAGCATTAATTAATCAATTAATAAAAATATTTTACCTGCCTTTCTCCTTGAAAAGGACCCAAGGCAGTTTATAACATTGAAAGACAATATTTAAAGGGGAAAACTATGAGTAAACAATGGTTGTTAACATCATTAAAATATTTAAAGCCAATAACAGTGAGTATAAAGAGGCATCTTGCATCAATAACAGGAAATATTAAATCTAAGAGCAATAAGTACACAAATATTTTAAAAACTGCTCCTCTGAGAAATGGAAAACACAAAAATAGAAAACAATAGTAGTACTGGGAATCTAAGTTAATCTGAAATTAACTGCATGAGCTGCAGTGAGCCTCCCTGGCCAGAAGAGGAGTATACAGTACCTCAATAAAGTGTAGGCTGATTTTCCAGAAAAGGTGTCATGTATTTTGGGTGCATTTGTGTGACACAATGAGCCAGGAATATGTGGGAGCCCTGCTTGTTGTGAATGAACAACAAACTAGAACATGCTGCTCAATCACTCCTGCTTGCAGCAGGAGCAGTTAAATAAATCATGGAGGTTTGCTTTGCTCCGTGGTTGAGGTATTATGTCATCAGGAAGTGTGCAGCTCCCTGCAAGCCAGAGAAACCATCCAGGGTGTGTTCTTGGCTTCTTTCGCTGGTTTGTTGCTAAGGGAAGATGCCCATTGCTAGAGGACACAATAAACCAACTGCTGAGTGGCTGTTTAGCTGCTCCTGCTAGAAACATGAACAATCAAGCAGCATGCACACTTACCCTTCTAAATCACTCATACCTAGCTTTTGTCATGTAAATGCACTAATGTCTGAATTTCAGATCATAGTGCTAAAATTCTGATCAGTTTCTAAACCAGTCATATCAGGTCATAGTTTTTTTTAAGATGACATGTCCTTCCAGTTTGGTTTAAATCATTATTTCTGGTTTGTATACTGTATAACAAAAATGAAAAGCAAAACACAACCAAACAAAAACCGCAATTCGTGGAAGTGTCTCCTAAATTGCAGGTATAGAAATGGAACTAAACTGTGACAAAGTCATTTTCCCAACTGTGTGGGAGGAGGAGAGGAGGTGTGTGCAAGCATCACTCTTTGCTATATTTTCACCATGTGCCTTCAGACTTTTTTTTTCCTAACTTGCAAAATGGCCTAGTAAGTTGGATCAAAAGAGAAGTTTTGGCTCTAACCAGTGCTTTTGTGTATACTGTAATCATGTATTAAATCAGTGGTTCTTAATCTTTTCTTTACCACAGATCCCCTTTAAATATATTTTGTTGCCATGGACCACCAAGACTTAACTCAAGATATAAAACCCTAAAGTGCATCAAATATTATTTGAAGTTTCTCATGAAGGGTCTTCATATTTGGAGAGAGAAAAATAAGTTAATCTGTTAATGTGTGAGGGTGAGGGTTGGGTCTCATGTTGTTTCTCTTCCTCTCATATGCCCACATCTTCAAAAATGAACACCAATCGTGGTTGCAAAGGCTGAACATTTATTTTAGAACTATTGAATAAACAGTTGATTTCTACTGGAACATAGTCTTTCCCTCCAACTGGGTGGGACAGGGTTTCCACTCTTCTTGAATGAAAGGATTCCCCAAACTCAAATTCCACAGGCCCAGCTGCTCCATCGGTAACCAGTCCTTTACTATCATCACTGTCTATACTATCATCACTGTCTATACCCTGAGTTCCATGATTTCCCAGACTCTCTTTGCTTTGGTCTCCTCTTCATCTCCCATGCTTGCCATTCGCTCCTTTTCTTTCTTGCTCCACTTTCTCTCTCCCTTCCCTTAATCTCCACTTCTACTCCTTTGCCTTGGATTCTCCCCAATCTGATGGCTTTTGGGGGAATCATTATTCTTCTACGATCTGATTCCTCCCTGGGTACTTTGTCTCTCCCACTTGTGAGTTCAAGGGTCCAGATTCACTCCCAACCTGGTGGTAATGTTTCCTCTCCTTCTCCTGCTTCTACCTCCTCCTTCTCCTCTCCACTTTTTCTAACTGTTCTCTTAGCTCTCCCATCCGTCTTAGGCCCTGGGAGGGTTCTTTCCCTTTTTCCCCTTGAGGGAATCCTTCGTAGAGTTCTTTGAGGAAGCTGCCGGTCCTTTCACTCTCTTATTCCTTTGCGGGAATGGACAGCACTCCAGTGAGAAGTGCTTCTGTCTTGCCTCCTGGCTCACATAATGCACACACTAAAATTTTTATTGGAATGATTTCATAAGTTATTATCACCCTTGTCCTTAATTTTTGCTGGAGAAACTCAAATTATAGGCATATAAAATCATTAATATCACACACCTATACAAAACATCACATGAAAATGAAAGCTAGAAAATACATTAGTATAATTGATACAAAATTCTACCTCATTAAACACATATTGGGTAGAAAAAAGGGAACATATATTCATATACAGTGGTGCCCCGCAAGACGCTGTTAATTTGTGCCATTGAAATCACTGTCTTGTGAAAACATCGTCTTGTGAAAACTGTTTCCCCATTGGAATGCATTGAAATCCATTTAATGCGTTCCAATGGGGAAAAATCGTCGTCGTCCAGCGAAAATCGCCCACAGGGAAGCCGCTTTGCGAAGCGCCGATCAACTGTTTTAAATCGCTGTCTTGCGAAAAATGGGCCCAAAAACACCCATTTTGCGAAGATTACCCCTAGAGAAGCCATTTTGCGAAGCCAACGATCAGCTGTAAAAATCATCGTCTTGCGAAAAAATGGTCTGCGAAGCATGGACCAAATCATCATCCAGCAAAATTCCCCCATAGGTATCACTGTTTTGCGAAGCAAAATGGCGGTCACAAAACCTTGTCATGCTGATTCGTCGTTTTGATGGGTAATCGTCTTGCGAGGTACCACTGTAATTATAATTAATGAGAAGGTTGGTGCTACATTTCACTTACAAGCCTTGTTTATATCAGCTTAATAGCTGAAATCTGTATTCTAAGTTCTGTCTCTTATGTTTTTCAAATTGATTCTGTACGTTTAAGATAAACAAGAGTAGAGAATGATTTTTTGCACAAGTATGTTGTTACGACAGGCATCAATAATTTCATAGCCCTCTTTGATAATTCCAGAAAATCTGCATATATTTAGAAGAGTTTGATTATAGTCAAATTGATATTTCTCTTAAATTTGAGTTTTAATTCAGATCAGTAGCTCAGTGTATTAAAGAGAGAAACCAGGTTTAGCTTTTTCACTTACACTTTTGCTGTAACATCCAAAAGTATTACCTTATTTATCTCCCCCAAAATTTAGAAGCCTGTAGCAATAAAAGCTCTAGGAAAGCAAATGCCCATTTCCCTTACAGAGGATCATTGTTTTGACCTAGAAAAGCAGTGATAAAAAGTGTAATACAATTAGCCTACTCTAACAAAAGAGGCATCAGGGTAGGACAGATTCTGCTGACTTAACCAATTTGACAGCACATGCCTAAAGAACCGCTACCAGTTTTATAGGACATAATTGCTGTTGCAGTTGGCTTATTTGTGTCTCAGAAATGCCTGTTGAGCCCTAGGAATGTTGTAAATTATCCACTTACAAGCCAAGTAACAAGCAGTTGGGGAAGGCACAGCATTTGAGCTTGAATAATGTATTGTGGTGTTGTCTTCTGGATAACTGAAGCAATAGATTGGAAGATAACTAGTCACTTATGATGATTGCTGACTAGGAAGACTACATAATTTGTTTTTTAACGTCAGTGCATAATTTTTCACTGTGTTAATTTTAGATCTGTTTCAGTCTCTTGTAATGGTTTAGAAAAAAAATGGAAATTTTATTAGCCTCCTGCTCTTGGAGCATTAGCTGTCTATGATTATTCTTTCATGTTACTTCTATATCAGATGATAGTTTAGAGCACAGTAAGAAAGACCAAGTGTAATTAACACAATTTTAGACATTTACTCACGAAGCGTACAAAGCACAGCTATGTAGGCATTGTTGACTCCAATGCAACAATTTCAGGCATAGAAGGCGCAACATAGTTCAAAGAAATAGCTTCCGTACAATGGTAATTGTATATTGCATATGCTCTTATTTCCAGTCAGTGGTAATAGCAAACAGTAGTAAAAGCTTGAGGAGAACTCTGTAGATCATACTAATTCTTGTTTTGATGCAAACATTTCTAAATGATTTTAGTATTTTAATTCTAATTCTAATAATTTATTTCTACCTGGCCTGGAAAGCAGAGGCCACTGAATAATTTCAACTATGAATGCTTCTCTTGCTGCTGATAGTACCTGGGAGGTGCTGCTCCATTTGGTGGTGGTGGTGTATGCTCTTATGCTCTGCAGAAGAAGATGGAGATGAAAAACTAGGAAGCAAGATGGTCCAGATGAGAGATGGATTAGATAGCCCTTATTTGTGTGTGCCTTGACTTCTGAGGGGGGGGGGGTTGAAGGAGTTAAAGAGCATGGTTTCTGATGCTTTTTTGTTGACTGAGATTAATATGCCTCAGTTTTCTGCAGTTTCAATGTACTGCTGCTCTTTGATGCATTTTGACTTTAATTGACTTAGTATTGGCATTACTGTATGGACTAAAAAGTTGAAGTTTGTTCTGTCTGCTAGCCCTGGAGTGCTCTTCTCTGCCAAGTTAAGGTGCAGTAAAGGTGTCCGACTCTAGGGGGCGGTGCTCATCCCGTTTTTCAAGCTGTAGAGCCAGCGTATCTCCGAAGACAGTTTCCGTTGTCATGTGAACAGCGTGACTAGGGAGCGCCGTTTTACCTTCCCACCGAGATGGTACCTATTTATCTACTCGCATTGGCATGCTTTCGAACTGCTAGGTTGGCGAGGAGCTGGGACAAAGCGACGGGAGCTCACTCTGTCATGTGGATTCGATCTTACGACTGCTGGCCTTCTGACCCTGCAGCACAGGCTTCTGCGGTTTAGCCCGCAGTGGCACCACGTCCCTTAAACTTACTTAGGAGAGGCTTATCTAATGTATTGTTACAGAGATTTTCATCCTGGTTACATAGGAGAATAGCTGTAAATGAAAAGGATAGTATAAAACAGTTTGGTTCCTTGCTATTTTGGGCTGCCTTGGATTGGCCAACCAGCCAGTTTTTCTTGGGATTGCTACTAGAGAACAAAATGTAGACTGTAACTGGTGTCACTTGGTTTCTACAGATTACAGTGGTGCAATTAAAATGAACAGTGTCTTCCAAAGTTACAGGTTGTCTCTTCCTACTTGAATTGGTTGCCCTGCTCATGGCCTAGCAAAGGTAGTGTGTGTTCATTAAGGCTGTGCCAATTATGGCATAAAATTAAATTATAGGTCAAAGTATTGGAGTTTTATCTCAACTTATCTAATTTGTAGTGGGCTCTTTCTGTTTTGTGGAGTTAAGAAACAGTGATGTGAAATTACTAGCTCTATTACATGTTTACCAATGTGCACAAGAAAGAGAAGGGGGAAAAAAACCACAGCCTGTTATTGCAATCTTTGTCTGCTAATTTTATTGCAAAACGCTAGTGTGATAGTATAAAAGTAGGCCACCAAATTCTGTTATCATTGTAGTACAACATTTAAAGGCCTGGCGGCTACTCTGCAAATTAATCATCTGCTCTGTTGAGAAACAACCATAAATGCTGTACCTTTTCCAGGGACCGTGGTAGGTTGGAAAGTGGCCTTGCATGTACCAGCACCTTTCCACTGGCACCTCTCAGGATCCAAGCAATTATGGATTCTGATAATCTAATAGATTCTGTTGCAAGGTTTGTTTGTTTTTTTGTGATGATCAGTATCTCTGTGAAAAATACTCGTCATTATTTGGTTCTGTTTGTCCTATATGATTGTACAACCTGAAGCATAAGGTGTCTTGAACTCATTTTGCAGTTGATGATGACAGTTTACAGGGAAATCGTTAGTAATCTGCTTTTCCAAAGGCACTGCTAACATCTTTGCATTTCTCTGGGAAGGTGATCAGAGCAAACATGCCTTTCCTCTTTTATTGGTTCCAATATCGCAATCCACAGGCAAAAGCTCTTCTTTCTAGTTTTCAGGTCATTCTTAATAGTGAACTGTCCTCCCTTCCCAATGAAAATTACTTCCTTGCAGCTAAAAATTAGATGCAGAGCAATTAGTGACTGCATTGGTAGCTCACAAAATCCATTAAATACAGATCATTCTAGATCGCATTGCCAATCAGACTGCAATCAAGTCCTCCCATGGTAGTACTCCAAGTAAATGCACACCTATACCCACTTTTAAATCTCTCTTTATCCCTCTCTTTATTTATTGTTGTCTTGAATTTAAAAACATACGTGTCCTACATAAGGCACATGGTAAACTTTCCAACAGAATATTCTATACAAGAGTTCTTGCTGGCAAAGTCAACCTGTTATCCAGAATGGGGCCTTTTTCTACAGGAGACAGATGGAATAAATAGAAGGGTGACTACTTTCTTAAAGAGAAGTTTCTGTAATAGAAATTTGTGTGAGACGAAGTTTAAAATTTCTGCCAGATGCTAGAACTATCACATCTTTATGAACCATGCCACATTAGACAGAGGTGTAGTTTTGATTCACTGTAACTTTGAGCAAAGATTGAGAGCATGCAAATTTTGGGTTAAACAGCCCTTGCCTTGGTTATCCTTTTACTCACAAAGGGCTCTTGGGGGCAGTGTTGTGATAGTACTAAATAGTTATGTATTAACAAGCACTTTCTTCTGGTGACAGGTTTTAAATGCACAAAGAGCTGGCTATAAAGCAGCCATAGTTCACAATGTTGATTCCGATGACCTCATTAGCATGGGATCTCAAGACAGTAAGTACAGGTATCACTTCTCTGCTTGAAAATCATTTTCTGTCTCTGGGCAATGTGTCATGTTTAGAATGTTGCTGTTATAGAGAATATAAGAATATAGAGTCCTGCTGAACTGAGTCAAAAGATCTATCCATTCCAACATTTTGTACCCACAGAGCTCTGCCATTTTTTGTTAATGTCATTGCATTTTGGATTTCAGATTTGTGTTTCAGTTCCCCACTGACATATGGCCCAGTAAATTCAGTAAATCTGCTTTCTTCATTGTTCTTTGCTCTACCTAATGAATTCATCCTTGGCATCAAGTATCAGAGAATTATTACTGGCCATCAGTAATAAGCATTGTTGTTGTTTTAAACATATGCCTCTACCTTCTTGATTTTTTTATGCAGATTAAAGGAGTTGTGTAGCTTTGCTAGGATTTGTGTTTGTGTATCATGTTTGAACCAGTCTTTTTCTTTAGCTTCCCTATTTTTTTCCTTATATAGTTTTTTATATTTGATGTTTTCTTTATTTTTCCATTTCTGTCTCTCCTTCTATTATTAT